ATTATTTACTATTTGCATAAGTCCATGCAATAGCAATATACAAATTTATACAGACTTCTAATCAATTATTGCAAAGTTTAGCAAAATTACTAATTATCTAATTCTAGTATATAAATAATACTCTTACTCATACTGGCCTATTTGGCATTTACTACTTAATTTAATTTAATCTTATTAATATATAGTTATTTTTTATAAAGTACTTGCACATATTAACAATATATTTAACAATGAAGCTAATAAGCTAGCAACAAACCACAACTCTACTGCATATCTTGACCTAATATATAACAATTTATATAACATCTCATATACTTTAAAATACAAAAAATATATAACCAAACAACTTACTAGATGAGCTATTAAAAATATATATAATTCATATATAATTGTTATATAGTTATTACAATACTGTATGAGCAATATTATTTTACTGTTATTACAAATTAACTGAAATACAACATGATTATATCTTAACAACAATACTAAATGAACAAATAACTATACCAATTCTTACTTAATCAAAGTAAATCATTTAAGATCAAAACATTACTTAATATCTTACTAATACTATACTGCCTTCATAAACTATATCTAGACAGCTTCTAACACAACAACTGCATTACTTGCCAAATAGTAGAACACTTATTGCACTGACTACTTTGTTCTAACTTAACAAATCTTACTAGCATTATTACAAAAACAATTTCTGAAACCATTAACAACAACTTATTACTAAATATTACACAATTATAATTATAACAATTATACTATTTACTAATTTAATATAATAGCCTATTAGTTAACAATATTCATTAAGAACAAACCAGCATATATACAACACTACAAGGATATGTGTCAACAGATTTAATCATCACAATCAGACCTTATACCACATCTTATTAAACTGCAATTTTAATAACTACCAAACTGCTTATCAAATATTACAAAAAATATATAATTACATATAAAAACTATATGCTACTAAATTAGCACAATAGAAAAAAGACAACAATATTATACTAAATAACAGATTTACAGCTCACAAATGATCTTATAATTACTCTAATCAATATCATAACTTACACTATACAGTCTGCCAACTATGTGGTCTATCTAACCAACTCTATACAGAAGATAATAACTGCTCAGAACTAGAAAATGCACTTTGTAAAATTGACCATTGGTCTATATACTAAATACTATACAGTTACTCCACAAACAATATTTTATATTATTAAATCTAAGTGAGTTTTAATCACTTTAGTAAGTTTAGATTGCAAATAAATTAAATAGAAATCTGTTTATAGTCTGAGTTTTATTCTTATAATATATTTATAATTAGAATAAGTTTGTAATTTATATTTAGAGAAGCTCCTAAAGGCTTCTTTAACAAATTAATAAAGATATAAACAAAACCTTACCTTAAAAAAAAAAATAATAATCATGTTTATATATATTTAAATTTTTATATTTATATTTATACTTATATTTAAATTTTTGTATTTATATTTATATCTATATTTAGGAACATGATAACATAATAAAATAATCATATTATTAACTCCTAAGTAGCAGGTTTAGAGTTCAAATTCTAGTATTAGTAAAAATTTAAAATTTTTTCTGTATTATAGTTAACTGTCTTTTACTATTAGTTAGGATTAGATATCTGTTATTTATATTAAATCAGCATAACTAAAAAGTCATATGACATTTATATAATAGTTGTATCTTATATAAAAGAATACAAATTAGTATTAAATAGTGTAAATTTATAATAAGTTTCTGTAATCATATAAATCACAAGAACCAAAAAAAAACAAAAATTTACTTAAAAAACTTAAATAAAAAGGTAGTTTAAAATTTTAATACTATTATTATAAAGACTAGACTTATAAAATAAAACTAAAACTTGTAAAACCAGATAAAGATACAACCTCTAAAAAGAAGTTGTTATAACTAGTTAGATTGCTAAAATTTATTCTGAAAAAAAAGATTACATTGTAAATCAAAGATATAGTTGTATATATTTTTCTAAGCTATCTAAACTAAAAACTTAGTAGAACTTAAATTAAATATCAATGTAGTAGAGATATGTTATGAAGTAATTATTAAGATAAACTTTACAAGAGCATAACAGTTTAATAGTATGTTCTAACTGTAAGTATTGGTCTTGACCATAGCATTACTAGATTAGTTATAAAAATAGAATAAAAAAGATTTTAGAAGATTTAGTACAAGGTTAAAGGTTCTTTATATAAATAAACTACTTTAAAGACTTAGTAGTCATAACATATTTGTACTGATATCAACCAAGCTTCTTGGTAAATATAGATAGATAAGTAAATATAAAAACTAAAGTGTTTAAATAAGAAACTTACAAACAGATTCTAGGTATGACAACTAGTATAAAACCTTTAAGTGAACTACTTAAATTAAATAATATCTAAAGTTATATAAGTAACTAGTTGTATACTGTTATAGTTAGAGAGAGCTTTTCTTATATAGTTGCTCAGTTTTAGCACAGCACTACAAACATAGATATGGTCTTGACTTGGCTACTAAGTGATTAACAGAACTAGTCTAAAGTAGTCTTGATTGCTGAATTACTAGTAGGTCATCATGAGTTATATGACTAGTACTAGCAGATTAATAGTCTTTAAGTAACAATGTGAGAGTTAGAAGTCAAATACTAGACTATACTATACAAGACTATAGCTTATCACTTTGGCTACAAATAGGATTTCAGTTTATGCTATGTATACTTATTGATTTAGCAGAATGAATCTTTATTTATTAGGCATACATCCTATTTATACAAATTTTAAAAATTAGATTTCAAACTTCCTGCTAGAGTTTTAGACCTGTAATTAGAGTTAGAAATTCTAGATTAGAGTCTCAAACCTAATACTGAGGTTTTGAACTTTATTACTACATTATACTAATTATGAATTATGCAATACAGGTCTCATACCTTATATTGAGGCTTCAAACTCTATTACTACATTATACTAACTTATACATATAAACTTTATACTGGGGTTTTGAACCCTATTACTATGTTATACTAATTTATATATATGAACAGATAACAAAAGAAAATGCAAAAAGTTTCATAACAACACTCTTTCTATAATTGCCTCTTGTAGTTTTAATGCAACTATTAGCTGAATGTACTATCAATAAATTTTGAATCACAAGTACTTACCTTAATATTTTAAAAAAAATACTTATATCTATATTTAAAATTTTAAATTTATATTTATATTTATATTATTATTAAATATAAGCATATATAAGATTTGCAAACTCTTAAACAAAAAACTATATATCAAAATTAAAAAATACTAAGTTAAAATACCTAAGTTAAAATAATTTAAATATAAGCTCAAATTAGATCTGTATTTTGTAATCTAAAATATTAAAATATTGAAACACCAATATTAAAAACATTAAAAAAATATTTTATAACTCTATAACTAAAAATTACTATAGTAATAAAATATAACAAATTTTGTACAAATATATAAAAATATTTACTAAATAAAAATTAGCAAACATACCAATTATACTAAATATTAATAGTTAAAATAATTCTAAATAGCAAATAGTACTAGTACAGCATTAGTTAACTAATTAAAAAACTATAATTACCAAAATTAAAATATTTATAATAAACTACAAGATTCTCTTATAAAGAATGCAGAAAATGTAATTAAAAAAAGTACTAAGGTTTTATATTTAAAAAATTCGGTATGTTGAGATTTTTGTAATAAATAATTTTAACAAAAAAAATCTTCGTTATAATGACAGATTCGGTTCGTTATATCGAGGTTATTCTGTGATTATTATTAATAAAGGGTATTATGAAAGGACATGTATATTTTAATTTATTAATACGCACGTAAATACGTATGTAATAGACTTTTAATCTTTATGCTATCCACGATCATGCCGGGGTACTATCAAATGTGTCGACCCACACAATGTATTACATATTAGCAAAGCAAAGAAAATAATAATGAAGTGTTATACAAAGAAAAATATTTAACCAAAATATTCGTAATAGATAGTCGTAACTTTTTTTAAATCTAGATTAGTGGGATTGAACATTTATTTTCACAATACAATAATAATGTGTCAAATTTTATGTTTTCTGTGTAATAATAACAGATTCAAGAGGTTACATATTCAACCGTTTTGACACGGTAACCCGCTTGACTATAACCCAATTCTAAACTATAGTATAACTATTTAAGCGCTCGTTTCCCTTTTTGTATTTTTTCTAGTTCTAGCTTCCACGATAAGATAATTTTTATCACCTTTATAATTTTAAAGAACACTTCTATAGTCCTTGGTATCTCAATGTCTTGTAAATTTATGGCTTGAACTAGTGGGAAGTGCGAAATATAAAACTAATTTTTGTACAATGTTCTAATTTCTTAAGATCACTAGTTCTTTTCTGTATGTGTTAAGTACACCATACTCTTGCGCTAATACTTCAGTGTTCCCTTTCCATCAAGTTTGGGCGAGCTATTCCCAGTATTCTTTTAGTTTATGTATGACCTCAAGGCCAATTCACCGTAACCCAGAGACGCATTTCTCAATATGGGAGTTTGTTAAGTTCATTATTATATAAAAAATAAAATGGCGCAAAAAAGCTTTGAACATATATTATATCGTTTGATGCGGAGGAATTTTTATCCAAACATTCACTGTAAAGCTTGCCGATCGTTTTTCTATAATGGACTTTATTTCGGGGTCTTGAAGTTGATTTGCAATGCTTTTTTTGAAGCCACCAGGTAAACATTTGATCATTATTGTACAGGTTCATGACACCAATAGAAAGTGAACCTTTTTTTCATTTCATTTGTACATTTATGCCATTGTAGAACGTCTTTTACGAGATTACGGGTAATATAATTTAGTTTCATATAGGTTCTTATTTCCTAATTCGGCTGTATGGTCTAGATCCTCAGGTTCTAACTCGACTTCTTCATTTAGATTAAACCTAATTCCGCTGCATCGTCAAGATTCTTAGGTTCCAACTCCAGATTAATGGGTTCCAATTCCACTGCTTTTTTCAGATATGTGACAGATTTGGATTCATCAGGTGAATAGTTCCTTAGTTTTTTTGTTGGGAAGGGGTTCAAGTTCATTCTCCCTTTGTCTTTCTCTATATATTATTTTATCACATTCATTTATGTGCTCTTCTAATGCGTTGAACCTGATGTGACATTCTTCTTGTATCTAGATCGTTTCAAAAATAATAAATTAATAATAATTCTATTAAACATATTAGCAATGTAGTTGGCTTACCTCTTTTTCTTGTAATAAAGCTCGTTCAGTGCGAGTTTTTTTTCTCTCATCTTTTAAACGGACACTATCCCAAATTGTTGTATGGGAAAAAAACGCATGTGCTTATTGCCTTTTCTTTGTGAAAATGTAAATTGAAAATGTTTAACATAAAGATTAATAAAGGCTGATAAAATTTTTTAAAAAAGACAATATTATGTATAAACCTGTGATATTTAATCGATTATTTTAATTCCACTGATTAAAATCTGATCATAGTAAAATCACTAAGATTGCTGATATAGGTTTGTGGTGATTTGATGCCTTTTTCTGTGACAATTTTTTGTAAAGCCTCAAATAAAACTTTTCCTGCATGTTTCTTTTGTGAAATGTAAATTAATAAAAGATTAGTAAAATTTTTAAAAATTGCAATATTATATATAAACCTGAAACTTTCTCAAGATAAATATTAGGTCACTGCAATAAACATTTTCATGCTAAACCGCAGTTATCTCCCAACAAAACCTACGGCCGGCGTACCTCCGCGGAATTATATGCCGTGAAACACTATAACTAGGGATGGGCAAATCATATTCCGTCCTTCCGAAATATTCGGCCTGCCATCCCTATCTAGAACCTTATATTTATCTTTTGAAGGTCACACTTAATCATTCCTCCAGACAAAACCTACGGCCGAACGTATCTCCGAGGAATTATATGCCAGCGAAACGCCAGGTTTGTAAATTAAGTATGTAAAGAAAAACAATCATACCTCTGCAAGCCTGAATTTCCCTAGCATATTTGGTTTCTTAGTAACTCAAATTTAAGATTCAAGATGAGGTGTATCGTGATCATGCGTATAGTGTGTACAGTACGTATCTAGTGATTTGACGCCTTTTTATGTGTAAAGCCTCAAATAAAACCTTTTCCGCATGTTTCTTTTGTGAAAATGTAAATTGAAAATGTTTAATATGAAGATTAGAAATTGCATTATTATATATAAACCTGAAACCTTCTCAAGACAAATATTAGGTCACTGCAATATTTAACTCTGCAAACCTGAATTTCACTAGCGTAATTAAGATTCAAGAAAGTTGGTTTTATTATCTAAACGATGCTGATTTGTTTTGATTTTAGAAAAAAAACTCTAACACCTGATCGGTCGATCAGGTTGGCGATCATGGTCAGACATTCGTTTGATTGGCTGATGTAGATCAATTGCCCGGTTTTTAGGAACGTAATCGCCAAAAAAGCCATTCCTGATTTTAAACGAACGTTAATATTTCACCTTGCAGAAGAATCAAAAAAGAATCATACTCCTATTGGATCTACTGATGGTTACCAAATATTTCAACAAAAACAAAATAATACGACAGGGTGAAACCCACGTTGTGAATTAGTAAACGGCAATTTTTTTCGTACATTAGTTTGTGTAACTTCACGTACATCAATTTTGGCTCAGCCAATAAAATTGCGTAATTTTGATATAGTGAAAAACTAATACGTATACACAAAGATCATTTAAGCGAAAGATGTTTAAAATCCATTAGACATAAATATTTGCATTATAATAATTGTTTTGGCGATATTAAATCTATTAAATTTGAAGTATAGATCAACTAATTTATTATACATTTTTTGTTTTCTTTGATATTTGCATATGTAAATATTTTTGGTGCTCGTAAGTATTAATCGAAGGACGGAGTTGCATTATGTCAAGAACGATGATGTAATTAATTCAAAGTCAGAATGAATTTATAAGTGAAACAAAAACATTAAAATAAAAAGTAAACTTTACCTTGCAGAAGTACACATTGTTTATTGTTGTATTATTAATACTATGGAATCTGAACATATTGTCACTAAAACTCATATAGATACTTGTGCTGTTGAGTTGAAACACATCTTTGGAACCTTTGTCAATGATCATATTGATGATAGTATGATGAACTTTATTGCGTTAGAACATATTATCAAAGCTTTTTCTGAAGTTCATAATGACAATAGTATTGTCAAATCAGAACACATCTTTGAAAATCATATAGATAATAGTATCATAGATTCAGAAGCTCTTGCTAAATATATGAATAATAACATTGTAGGATCAGTGCAAACTTTTGAAAATTATATAGATAATAGTATCTTGAAGCCAGAACGTACATTTGTAATTTTCACTAAAGCATATGTGATGATAGAGAGATATGCTGCATAAATAAAGACTGTTGTAATTTTGAATAAAACAACAAAAAATTCAGATAATAATGACTATTGACAAGTATTTTTTGCATGTGAAAAGCAAGGAAAATACTGCAGAATGAATGATGTTTATAGAACAAAGTAAACTGTGTATCCTTTTTCAATTAGTATAAATTATCACAAACATATTCAAAAATTTGTTATAACTAAGTTTTTTTTGAACCATAATTATGAACTTTGTTTAGATACTGTAAAATATAGTATTGTTGTATGTAAGTTTGATAAAGATGATCTTGGATTAATAAAAAAGCTTCATGATAATGAACTCAGGACAAAAGATATTTTTTTTGTATTAGCTTCAGTTAGCTCTAAATACATTCATAAACCTGATGTTTATAATATGATAAGCTGTTAGTGTTAGCAAAAGCTTTAGGATTTAATTGAGATTAAGATGCTTTTTAAGACTCTAAGTAATAATAAAAATATTATAGATTATATTGCATTAAAAGACATATATGGTACCAAACAAGATCAAGATGATGAATTCATTCAAGAGATTTTTTGGGCATATCATAGTATATTCTCTGAGTTCATAGTTGTAAGAGATGTTTTAATTGTTAATACAACATACAAGATGAATAGTTTTTCTATACCATTAATAGTTATTTGTAGCATTGATCATTTTGGGTCTATATATTTATTGGCATTTGTACTTGTTTATTTTAAGACAAATGATTATTATAGATAGGTAATACAACAATTGAACAAAGCATTAACCATGTTAACAAATAAATAGTTATGAGTGATTATAATATATATTATAATTTATTATTATTATTAAATTTAGTTATAAGTAATAATTAGTAATATTTATATTTTAGTAATAACTAATAATTATTACTTATATGTATATTCTATTATTTTTTCTATCTTTACAGATAATGCACAGGTTGCGATGTTCATAATGGATCATGAGATAGCTCTAATTCTGGCAATTTCTGAAAAATTTCCTCAAGCATAACATCAGTTATATACTTGGCACATCTTTAAGAACATTAAAAATAAGCTTAAAAAGCTTGTTGATATTGATAAATTTATTAAAGCTGTTTAGAAACTTGCATACGATGATAGTTTAGAAACTTATTATATTGAACAAGAGCTCACAGTATTATGGAGACAATTTCCAGAAGCTAAATCATATATGTGTGAAACATGGATACTATACAAAAATAATTGGCTTGTACCATTTACAAAACATAATATAAACCTTGATATAAAGTCAAGTCAGCATGTAGAAAGTTTATACAATAAGCTAAAAGGTATTGAAAATAGAATTACTCCAGTTAATAGGTGGTTTACAACTTTGCCAAATTTTTTTTTTTTTTAATAACCCCGAGATAGCATTTATCTAAGGACATCAAGTGACATCCAAATTTTTTTTTTAATTGTTAAATTTTTTTTAAATTTTTTTTTATTTATTTATAAATTGCTTGCAATTCTTTTATAACAATTATAAGAAAGCTCACAAAAGCTTGCATATAAGACATTTTTATATCAAAACAAGCATATAAATAATGATGCAAGTTCAGGATTAGAAGAGTTGTGGCTAGCATGTTCACAATTTACATTTGAATCATTTGTAAAACAGTAAGGAGTTTTTGCAAAATCAGGTGCCTATAAGGTATATAAAAGTAGTGACAACACATATAATATAGTACAAGCTAATGATAAAGTTAGTACAATTTATATTGTATATATTGGGGCATTTAGTAGTTGCACATGTTTGCATCTGCAACAAACCAGAACTCCATGTAGGCACATCATTTCAGTTTACTTATCATATTTACATACTTGTATTCTATTAAGTGAAATTCACTAGTGTTGGCAAATCAAATATAATGATGAAATAAAATATACAACCTATGCACATGTTATGTGAATTTTTGATTAGATTTCAAAATTTGATCATAATAATTTTATGGATCTGATGCAGAAAGTTTTTGATCATATCACAGAATATAAAAAGATACTAGAGTTATCATTACAAAAAGATAATATTTTACCTAAAAGTACTTTTGAGATGATTAATATTAATAGTATAAAAAATTATAATAAAATCAGAATGCTAGTTATTAAACATACATGTGGTCAACCAAAAAATAATAAGCATATTCGTAGCAAGAATGAAGAAAAAAAATCTTTAAAAAAATCTCTATTAGTAAGAAATTAGATGCAAATAAGGAAAATATGAGGTGTGGATAATAAAAACAGCCTATTTTTACATTTTTTTAAAAAACAAACTTTTATTATATTCATATAAATTTTGACATGGTTGACATTTTTTAATTATAAATGAAAGCCAATTTGTATAATAAAAAGTTAAGTTAATGTAAAAGACAGATTACATAAAGCTACATAGGGCCAACACATTACGAGATTACTCAATAGTTACCTGTTGCCTTTAACTAATCAAATTCATAAATTTTGATTAATCTTGGATCAGTCTGAAATCAAAACAAATCATTAAACTCAATTATCTCAAAATAAGATAAATGTAAAAATGGGCTGTTTTTATTGTTTGCACTCTATATAGTCAGTACATATTTTAATCTACAAATTTCTCAAAACATAATAATACATATGCATAACCTAATCTCAGATAGCTATTGTAGGTTTAGGTCATTAGCTGTAGCTTTTTTCAAAGATAAAGAAAAGTAAAAAAATGTTAAGTTTGTTATAAAAAACCAACTAATTAAACAAAAAAAATTATATAATAATATACTTGGATATAATATGAACTACCTTATGGCAGTTTTATCATATTCAAGTCAAATATATCTAATAGAATTCTGGTTCTATTCTCCAGAGTGTGCACAACTAGCATCAGATACATTCAACGTGCCAGTCATAGTATTTGGTACAGGCCCTGCAATAAGCCTTCTATTTTTATCATATAATCAAAAACCTAGTCATTGCAGAAAACCTATTATTTTACAATAGCATGGATACAACTATATCATACTAGTTTAACTTAAGCCAAACAAGAAAGTTTAGCTTCTACCTTTAAACTCACAATATAGACTAATTTGCAATCATTATGATTTTTCCAAAGATTGGCTTATGCTATTTTCATAAATTAGCATTAATTTTCTAGTTTGCTGTTTGCTTTTGTATCAATTACTATTATTTGCTTTTGCTTTTATTTGTGTAACTCACATAATCAATCACTATTGTTTGCTTTTGCTTTTAACTGCATACTCACATATTGCATCTGTTTTTGATATTTGTATATTGCTATTTAATATTAGTAAATGATTAATATAACTTTATGAACTTCAAAGTCATAAGTATTGTTGTGATCAAATTTTTTTTTATAAATTTATAGCTTTGTCTTTCTAATTATTGATATTTCTATTGCATATAAGAATAAAGGTAGAAAAAAAAATTAGAGTTGATATAGTTATAAGAACTAATATAAGCATGTCTTCTGTAAATATATAATCTTAATATATTAATACTCAGATTGAACAACTTAAAACTATCATAAGCTTTTCAAGTTTCTATGTTGAAACAATGCAATTAAATAATTCTTATATATTGTATAATTTTCTCTATAATTATCTTTTAACTTAACTGATGCATATACCATTTTAATCTCTTTGCATCTGTTAAATGAGTTAATATACATTGAATTTTGTAATTTGATAATTTATGATAAAGTGTTTCTAAAAAGAGCCAGGCTTTAGTTTACAATTTGTTAGGCTTAATTCCAATCTGATTAAATGTTTTATATTACAGATTAGATTTGTGTGAAAGAATTCTGAAAATTATAAAGTAAGGAATCAAAGCTTAGGTTTCTTTGATAGCACATATAAATTACAAGTATCAATACTGTATATATACAATTACTGATTGATAATTGAAATTACACAATTTTATTGGCTGAGCCAAAATTGATATACATAAAGTTACACAAACTAATGTACAAAAAAAATTGCCAATTAGTAAAATCTGTTATACAGATTACATGAGGGTGAAACCCACTTTTGTATAATAAAAAACAGCTAAACACAGATTTCATCCTATGGGTTTTACTAATTTACAGCATGAGTTTATATGTTAATGCAAACTTACTTCCTAACAAATGTGTAAAAAAAAAGTATGATACTGTATAGTTATTGGATATGAAGCAACCAATAAGTATATATTATTTGGCAGATAACAAAAAATAACAGATAATTTTTTTTTGTTAGAACTAAATTACTCTATATATTGTATAGCAACATATAAGTAAAATTAATTCTAATAAAAAAAAAATTGCCTGTTATTTGTTATACATATATTGAATAATAATGTTATTAGATAGTTAATATAATCATAAAATATTAAGAAAACTCAAAATAGGCACAGCTCTAGAAATATTTGGTATAAGTTATATATTAATCAAATATATAAATGAAAAGATATAAAAAATTATTAGAAATTAATATTTAAAAAAAAAAAAAAAAAATTATTAGAATGTTTACAGACCTTATATTAAAAAAAAAGAGAAATACCAAGCAAGTAGAAAATATACAAATATATTTAATTTCAAAAGATATTAAATAGGATTATAGACTTAATAATATAAGACCAATTATATTAATTAAGATTTTTAGAAAAATAATTATCAAAGTAATAATGAAAAGATTGGTCAAAGTATTTATAAAAAGACAAATACTTAAAGAGTTAAATTATATAGGTTTGTTAGACAACTTAACAGAACAATTAATATATATCTTAATGAAATAGAAGAAGTTCAAAAGAAAAATAAAAAAGTATAAATACTATTACAAAATATAAAGAAAGCATTTAACACAGTTCTATTAGAAAACCTATAGGTAATATTTAAAAAAGTCAAATATTACAGAAAACAAGGAAATATATAATAAGTATTTTCTTTAAAAATAATTAAAAGTTATTACAGCATATAATATAACAAAAAAATAACAACAAAGAATAGAATAGATCAAGATAATATAATTTCACTCCTAATATAATAGTTTTTTTATAACTCATTGCTAGAAAGAATCCAAAAAGATAAAATACTTAACTATATAATAAAATAAAAAATAGAAAAAAATTATATAGCAATGTTATTATAAGTTACAAATAAGCTGCAATTGCTTATATAGACAATACTATATAAATTACAAATAGTAAAAAACAACTATTAAGAATTTTAAAAATTACAGAAGAATTTTTCAAAGCCAATAATATTGAAATAAATAGATTCAAGTTAAAACTTATAATAATAAATACTAAGCTTAAAGAAAAAAAAAAGAGAAATTAGCTTTGGAAAAAGTAAGATAAAAAAGAACTAAAAAACAAAATAATAAAATTACTAAAAATTTGGCTAAATAATAAAATAAAGGAATCATTAGTTAGAAAAAAAGCAAAAAAATAATTAGTTAAACAGTCAAAAATCACAAATACAAAAAAATATCAATAAGTCAAATTGTGTATATAAATAATATGATAATTATTCCAAAATTGAAATATCTATTACAATTAATGAAAATAATAAAAAAAATAATTAAGAAAATATATTAACTACTAATATGCTTAGCAAAACATAAATATAATATAATATATATAGCAAATAATTGCATAATAGAATATAAAGACCTTGGTAACTACAAGTCACTAGAGCAAGAAATAATATCAAAACAAATAAGCAACATATTTACTAAACTGAACAAAAAAGATGACTTAAATAAACTAACAAAACTTAAAATAACTAAAGATTGTCAAATTGCAAGCTTAACAAAAAATATATAGAACACAAAAACTGGATTAGAGAAGAAAAAATATTGAAAAAACAATCTAATATATTGAACAATAGTTAAAACAAAAAATATAGATATAGACATTAGAGCATAAAAATACTTATAAAAAGTATATAAATATAAAAATAAGATAAGAGATATAATAAAAGTAAAAATATAAAAAACAAGTAATACCAAAATAAATAGCTAGAGATTAATCTATTTGAATTAGCTAATAGATACAAAAGACAAAAAGCTAATTATATAAAAATAGTTTAAAAATATTTAAAAAAGATCATATAAAAAGAAAAAGTCAAAATAGTTTAGTGAAATTAAAAAAAATACTAATAATATAAAACAAAAAAGTATATGATTAATACAAAATAAACAATTACAATATACAAGTACTAAAAATTATATAAACAAAAATGTTAAAAGACAAAAGAAGAAAAAAATAGATTATATAGGCCAAAGAATAATTAACAACTAGGCAAAGTAGTTAAGAAAAAAGAAAAAAAAGTTTTAATTAAACATTGATTAATATACAAAAAAAAAAAACATCTATAAAAATAAGCAAATACAAAAACTGTAAGAATACACAAATACAGATAATAAATAGATATAAAAAGTAGATATAACAAGATTACAATATAAAAATTAGTTCAGAATCAATAATAGAAAAAAACAACAACAGAATTAATATGATAATAGATCAACTAAAAGAAAATAAAACAAAAGAGAAATAGAGAAACAAGAAAAGGAAATTAGTTAAACTCAAAAAAGTAGAATAATTAAAAGTAAAAATAATAATAAAAAACAAGAATTAGACAATATGCTCATAGACTAACTAATAAAAATTATAGCAAAAACACAAAAAAAAAATATTTTTTATATAGATAGAGTATCATACAAAAAAGATAAAAAAAATAACATAAAAAAAATGAGTACAAGTAGAAAAGAAAACTAACTAGTCAAAGAAAAAAGTATCACTAGGCCTAAAGAGATAATTATTAGCAACATTAGCAGAGCTAGTAGCAATATGAGTAGTAATTTTAATAATACATAAAGAGAAAAATATAGAAATTTATACAGATAACAATGTAGCAATAATAAATATTAGTAAAACATTACAAAATATAAAAAATAAAAAATTTTTAAAAAGAAGAATATAATATAAATATTGAACATTACAAAGTTAGTTAAAAAGAAAAATGCCAAAATAAAATTAATTAAAGTTAAAAGTTATAATAAAAACAGATAAAATAACAGAGCAGACTTTTTGGTAAAAAAAAAAGCAAGTTATAAAGAAGTAATCAAAATAGGAAACTAAAATATAAAGAATAAAATATTAACTAAAATGAAAAAATAAAAGAATAGATATATTGGCAAGACTTTTTTGTAAAATAATTGTAAATACCAAAATAAGAGCTAATTAAAGAAATATAAAGTCAATTAGAATTTTGAAATCAGAAACAAAACATATACAGTTAGACCTTTATATAATTACCAAGTTGGTTGCACCCTAATTTGGTAATTATATAGAGATGTGACTATAAATAAAATACCAAGTTAAAATCACATGATTATTGATTAATGAAATTATAATATCTGCACATATAAAAATTTCTTATTAAAATTTTAAAATCTTTAATAACAAGTATCTTTTAATCTACTAAACCAATTTAGATAAAACAATTACCAAAATGTTCATCTCAGTGAGCTGATTCTAATAAATACAAAATTACTAAAATCTGATTATAGAATCCCAAGATCATTAATGTTTTGTATTACTTTAGATGTTTAAACATCTGTAGTAATACAAATTATTAGTGATCTCAGGATCCTGTGATCAAATTTTAGTGCTTTTGTATTCATTAGAATCAGCTTATCAAGACAAACATTTTGGTAGTTGTTTCATCTAAATTAGTTCAGTAAATCAAAAGATATTCGTAATTGAAGATTTCAAATTTTTAATAATAAATTTTAAATATGTATAAATATGAATATTAACTAATTAGATTTAATAATCTATATTTATTTAAAAATTAGTAATTATAAGAAGGTTTATTATTAATAAAATTAACTAAAAAAAATAAATTTTATAGTAATAGTGATTATAAGCAATTTGTGACTATAAAGAGATTTATTTCTTATATTTAAGTCTGTTTCATAATTTTGGATGCTTATATAAAA